TGACGTACATGTGCGGCAGCGGGTAGATCTTGGTCGGCTTGCTCAAGTTCGTGTCGATTTTGCTGCGAAGAGGCAGCAGGAATTCAACGCATATAGCGCGCAGTTTTAGTGACAGAATCAGGGCACGTATCCTCGGAGCATTTCTAGGAGACGCGATGAACATCTGTTCCACATGTCAAACGTGCTTCCACTATCACCAAACCAAACCATACACCCCCTGGTGACCTAATCCGGATGACTAAACCGGCTGGCTTGTCGTACAATGAACGATTCCTCCGGGAAAATCGGTTATCACGGCATCAAGCCAACACTGGCCGCGCTATTCATGGCCTAACCTATGATTATAGGCCTATCATGATGACCCGTGCGCATTCACCAGGCCCAAGCTGAATCGGTACACGCGGTATGGCGGGGTGTGCGTGCACCTCACCTGATACAGGCCAGCGTGTTGACGCCGCCCGATGTTCATGGCGCAGGAGCCGCAGATTCCCTCGCGACAAGAGCGGCGGAAAGTCAGCGTCGGGTCCATCTCGTTCTTGATCTTGATGAGCGCGTCCAGCAGCATGGGGCCGCACGAGTTCAGGTCCACGTCGTACGTCTGTCAGGGAGGAGGCTGCCCATCAGCAGGCCGAAAGGAAGCCAGAGGCCGCGCGACCGGAGCGCCACCAGACTATCACAGATGGTGATCACTCCTGCTTCCGTCATATTGAAAAGAACGTTACGCGCATGCGCTAGTGAGAGCAACAAGCCGGAATTTTGCCACCACAAGCAAGGCATTTGACGGCTGTTGACCTCCACCGCGAGTGGCGATGGGACACCGGCTGCCTCGCCACGTCTGAACCCCGCAGACGGTGTTCACCCGCCTGACCTGCATTCGCAGCTTAGACACGTTTGTACCATGCACACGGTGTTCGCCCGCCTGACCTGCACGTGCTGCTTAGACACGTCTGTACCGCGCACAACGGTGTTCACCCGCCTGACCTGCACGTGTGGCTTAGACACGTCTGTACCGCGCACACGGTGTTCACCCGCCTGACCTGCACGTGTGGCTTAGACACGTCTGTACCACGCAGATGATGTTCACCCACCTGACCTGCATGTGCGGCTTAGACACGTCTGTATCGCGCACATAGTGTTCACCCGCCTGACCTGCACGTGTGGCTTAGACAGGTCTGTACCGCGCACACGGTGTTCACCCGCCTGACCTGCATGTGCGGCTTATCGCCGGGCTTGTCTGGGTTCCAGCGGTAGATGGCGAACTGTTTGACACGCCGCTGGGACGCCGGGCTGGCGGCTGCCGCTGTCTGGGCGCCGCGCACCTGGCGACACAGGAGCTGTTACTCACGTGGTGATCGCATGGAGAGCTGAAGCTGGTGATTTCCGGTTCGGAGCTGCCGAACTGAAATACGGCTCAGCTGATGGCTCAGTACACTGTGGAAGTGTGAATGTCAGACTGAAACTGGGGCTGATAGTTTCAAAGTTTAAACACATGAAGCCAAGACAAAGTCAGCAGCTTTATTTTCAGATAGCCTAAAGACAAAGCTGAACTGACTGGGTTGAAATCCTGATGCAAAACCAAAGGCGAATCTAGTACACAAACCTGTTTTGAAATAATGATAGCACTTTTATGCCAACAACAGTTGTATGAGATCAAAATCTGCCCTGTAGTTGAGAAAATGTGTTAGCATCTTTAATGGAATACTTCTCTGACTACTCTTCTTGTTCATACATAAGCATGAACACAACATTCCAGTTAATTTTCCAGCTCTTGTCAGATGATATAAATAGGCTGACTAATATGCTTGATATAGGAAAGCTGGAGGGAGTAAAGCAAGAAGCAACTAGGGTGATGAATACAATTGGCAAACTTACCTTACCTATTAAAATACAAGAATAGGCATACAGCCTTGAATTCGTATTCACTGAAGTCTTGTAGACTTAGAGGAGATCTGATAGAGGTATTCATGACCATAAAAGGGATAGACAAGGTAGGTCTACAAGGAGTGCTGGAAATTAGGCCAAGACTTAGAGGAAACCAGTTTCAATAAGCAAAAGGCAAAAGGCAGGAGTTGAACTATTCTGATGTCTTGCATGTGCAGGCCTTGGTGATTGTGAGCATGTCATTGGTGCTGCATGCTGTATTGGCTTGCATGGTGGTGCCTTACTGCATGTGGCCATGGTCACTCTTGTTGCTGCATGCTGCATGCCCTTGTGCTGGCTCCCAAAAGTACTATTGTGTATGTGTAGCTGCCAGCTTATGAGTCCTCTGAATGTGTTGCATAACAAGTGTCTGCTTCAACTGTGTACTACTTCCCAAATAAACTATAGCTGTCACACTATGAAGAGGCAGACAGCATTTAGTCTGAGAAGCAAATCATTGGAATAGACTGCCAAACAAAGTTACACAAATTTCTTCCCTGACAACATTTGAAATTGTTTAGCCAGGTTCTATCAGTCTAACAGTCACATTTATAGTTAAATTCAGGCAGGTCAGGTGGTAGGATTAGTGCTAATGATGTGCAGCACCTGACATAAGCCAACCTTAATGGGCTCTTGTGGCTTTTTGTTGGCCTGATGTCTTCTTGTGTTTAGGTTTCTATTGGCTCTAATATATTATCTATTACATATTATGCATTAGTTCTAAATTGGTCCTAAGAACAGCCAGTCCTTTTGTACTTGGGTCTCTAAGTTCTAAATGGGTCACAAAAATAGCTGGTCAGTTTTTGGCTCAGAGACAGGTATGCATGTGTTATACCAGACTGCAATGCAGTGCCCATGTGCACTGTTGTGAGGGATGTGCCAGTGCCATGCATCCCACATCTTGGCACTCATCATGGCAGTACCCAGACTGTCACGCTGGGGGCCAGTCTCAGTCATGTGGCCTTGACCTCTGCCCAATCAGCAGCAACCCTTGGTGGGGCTGAGCCGAGGTTAGGCAGGGGGTGCAGATGAGGGGCCAGTGAACTCCTAGCTCCCGACTGACAAGGTCATTGCTGTGTATATATGTCCCTTGTCCTCCCTATACTCCTCTTTGAGCTGCTGCAAAGAGGCTAGAGGGTTTGTGCCCCACCTTACCTACAACTGATGGCTTGGGGCACTCTAGAACACTTGTCCTCCTACCAAGCCCCACTAACTCAATGGTTATGAGCTTTGTTGCCATGCTGGGAAATGCTATGTACAGAGAATGATGTTGTGCATGTAATATAGCAGTATGGTTGGAGAGAGAAGTTTAGAGTGGTCACCAAAATAACATGGATTGAGTTGATGTGGTGCCAGGTACAACACTTGGTAACATAAATAAAATTGTGGTATACTGGGTTGAAACAATGGGCAAAATTGATGATGTGAACTATGGTTGGAACTGCAATGGAACAATTGCCTTCACAAAGCAGAAACCAACAGTATGAGTTGACATTGGGCTGAAAGCATCTATTACCCAAAAACTGTTTTGAGCAAGCTTTAAACACCAAACTAGGGCTAAAATCAAAACCATCTGTTTGAAAAGACATGAAACAAAAGCCAGCCAGCTGCAGGAAACAAAACCTCTCAGAAAATGTCCTGTCTTCCTCCATAGTAAATAAGAATGACATCCCAACATGGTAAGTTACCTCCCAGACTCCAGCTGGGGATATCACCAATACCAAGCCATGGGAGACCTTTCAGCCATGAGGCTTTATGGGCTTCCTAGGTATTGTTTGGCAGTCTTGCCTCTCAGATCATCAGTTTGCCTCCCGAGTTACCATTTGCTATCTTGGTGCACAAAACTGTACTGCATGCTGGACGCATGAAAAAACAAGTGATACACAGGACAACTTCATCTGAAATGCTTGCATATGTTGCAGACAATGGGACTATCATAGCCACCACCAAAACTCTGGTCCAACTAGAGTGCAGGTCTGTTACATAACTGCTGGCCATACTCAAACAAGAGTCAGCTAACAATCCTGGTAGTGTGTGCATTACCTGTCACATCTCATATGACAGGTAAAAAACCTTCAAATTAAAACACCCTAATGAACAACTATTTTCTTATTCATGATACAATCTCAGCGCCTGCATAATTGTCCTGACATGATATGTAGTAGTAACTGGATGTTGCCATACCTACTGACGAGCCAGTCTGTAAAATATGAAAGTGACATTGACAGCGTGCATGGGATATCCCTAACTGTCTAATGCCCTGCAGAACGTCACTGAACAATTCCAGAGCATTGGTTCATATACGCCACAATTACAAGCTGACCTGATTCCACGAATTCAGACTACAATAACTCACCAAGGCTTTGCCGCATGTTAGCCCACAGCTGCCAGCAAGAACAGCAGATTTTGCCGCTACTACACTCATAGCCCAAAGACAGAAGGATTGGACGAGCAAACTTCGCACCACCCCTCACGCCGCTAAACTCCGAGCTCCCACACCACACGGCGCGACCGAAAACTGTGACAGGGTAGCTGTTACGCAAGGCCAAGTTGTGTTTGCGCTTACATTACATAACATCACTTTTAGGCTGAAAAATCCATTTGAATCCTTTCTTTATCACCTCAACAAAAAAATTAAAAACTATACATAAATATTTGAGCATATACCATGCTACACAGGAATTTTTGGACTTGATACATTTGACACTATTCGGAATCAATTCTTCTTGAGAAAGACCTCCTTTAAAAGTCATTTCTAGCGCTAAAATGACGAGCAGTGGCACGACACAAAACCACGAAAGCAAATAGGTGGGCGGTGGCTCAGCAGAGCTTGTATGGTTGGCCGAGCTATGCAGTGGAGTCTCGGGCAGCAGCAGGGCTGCTAGGATGCGATTAACGGGCGACATGTGAACGTGTTCTGTCTAGTATTTAAACTGTTCAAATTATTTTCCCGTGCTGTTCGATCAGAATTACGTCAGCAGGCGTAGTTGCTGACCTGAAAGGTAATGCCTTTGAATGTTTCCTAATGGAATTCTTTCCGGGCAGCTCCATATAGGACAGTCATGATAGGTTCCTAGAAGTAACCATAATGTGTATACAGGTTTTATCCTCCCAAAGCCTGGATCAAATCTGTGAGAAAATAAACAAGATAAGTTTGTGTTTGACTCTAGGGCAAAGGTCCACAAAATGAATTGGAAGAAGGGACTGGGGCTAATTGTTGAAAAATGTATGCAACATACCCTCAAGACACCAACAAGTCAGTTTTTCCACCATTTGGTTCACTTTCCACTCAAGTGGAGAGGGGATTCTTATTTAGTTAGGGGGAAGGCACTGAAAGCCCTTAACTAAATGAGAAACTACACCCCAGGATTATTCTGCCAACCATTTAAACATTATCCTTTTAATTTGTTCAAGTGCTGCTGACAGCCATGTGCTAAAATTTAGAACTATGTGAGCTGGTTATTCCAGCATTTTGGTGATCATAATCAAACCATGTTTGAGATAAAAGGTCCTTTCCCTTCAGCTACATTATATCAATATAATTTTTTCATGTTCATACCACATATGTGATTTGAACACATGTGGCTGCTTGATTTCACCCAACTACGCTAATAGTTCTGTGCTCACACAGGTGCCTGAATGAAAAAATCAAAAGCAGGAGGCAGCAAGCACAGGAAGGCTGCACCCAACAAGTCACCAGATGCCTGCCTGCTTGTACTGGACTTTGACCACACAGTGGTTGATAAAAATACAGATACCTTTGTATGGAAACTAGGAGAAAATGGGAAAATTCCAGACTCAATCAGCAGTGCACATGGTGAAAAACTTTGGACTCACCTGATGCAGGATGTCTTCGACTACTTACACCAACAAGGGTGCACACCAAAACAGATCCTTGACTGTTTGGCCTCCATGAAGCTGGCACCAGGTATGGACACGTTATTGTATAATGTTCCAGAAAACTATGATATCATCATTATCTCGGATTCCAACGCTGTGTTTATCCAGCACATCCTGGAGACGCATGGAGTGTTTGATCGGATCGCGCACATCTTCACTAATCCTGCCAACTTCGACGAGGATGGACGCCTGGTGGTGACGCCGTTTACCGAGCAGACGGCGTGTGACATCTGCGAGAAGAATCTCTGCAAGGGCGACGCGCTCAAGATGCACGTGGATCGCATGGCAGGGACGGGCAGGAAGAAATATGGGCGTGTGGTTTATGTGGGGGACGGGCTGAATGACCTCTGTCCGTGCTTCAAGCTGGGCAAGAACGACGCAATCTTCCCCAGGTCTGGTTTCAGACTAGAGGAAGAGATTAAGAAGATTCAACGGAAAAAGAAAGAGGAAATCCAAGCCGAAGTTGTGGCGTGGCAGGATGCCTCTACCATCCTCGAATATCTGTGATACTGACCATCGATAGCGCTCTAACACTGCCATTTTGTTTACTTTGAATACGTATGGTGCCCACATATGCTGAAAAATCAATTTCACCATCCAGCGATCTTCAAAAATTGACTGCGGATTGCAGAGCGCTATCGCTTTGCTGCCCTTGTACATGAAGGAACTCGGTTCAGCAGCATGTTGCTGTTTCTGCGGTGGAATTTTCAGTCTCATGTGACGGTGATATTCCCAGTTGAAATAAAGCACGAATATGTCGAGACTGGCCCCTGGTCGCGCATCGCTTCATGGCAAAATAGGACACGTCGAAAATGCAGTTTATTTCGAAACCACCGAGCCAACTCCCTTACGAAATCGCGCGAGATCAATGTCATCCAGCTTGCTTGTCACGGCCCCGGAAAACCCAACGCGTTCGAATGAAACCAAACTCGCACGCAGCTGATGAAAATGTAAGGGATCAACAATACTGCATTCCGGTACGGGCTTCAACTGCGCCACGTGTTAATGTAGGTGTTCACGTTTAACATTACGTAGAAACACGCACGTCATCGTTTGCTGTCGTAATTAACCCTAACCAGCGAATTCTGGCCATATACATGTCGCTGCTTTGTCTGTTTGAAGGTACTAGGTGCCGAAACCGCGATACCCGGCGACGTCGTAATCTTCCAACTTGTATTCTCAATGTGAGCCCCAAAATTATTTAGGACGTGACTCAACAAAATGGCTACAAATGACTGATAAAAGGGGAGAAAATCCCGCAAACTGATACACGAAGAAATATGTAATGGCGATGGTCAGGTGAATCTCATTCACAGATCAGTACGTCACCAAATCGGACTTGTGACCAGGACCGGGCTGCCAGTGAGAGGCCTGTTTGGAAATATGCATAGCATTCCAAAGATCAAAACGCACTTGGAGGGAGACGTTGATGGTGTGAAATCTGGTCACCGTAAAGAGAAAAGAGACAGGCACAAAGCAACACCAATTCATTCCAACCCAAAACAACCAACCACCCATGAGAAGCACAAACGACCGCAGCATGGAAAGCGTCGCACAGAGCAAGGTCCACAGCTATCATCCTGTATGGCGCCGTGTTAGCAGCATCACCCGCAGCCCGGCGCCTCTTCAGTGCTCCGACCTCACCACCTCCAAACCACAGACGAATCTCTCCGCGCACTTCTCCGCGAGCGCTCGTGTCACACAACGCCGCGACCCGGCGAGCCGGTCGAGGCGGCGGAGGCGGCCGCTCAAGCCAGCATGTTCAGCCAGGCCCGGACGGGCTCCAGGCTCGGCTCGTCGTCCTCGCTGGCGCCGCACGAGCCCTCGACGAACTCGACCGGCTGGCGCAGGTGGCCGAACTCGAACTCCTGGCCGTCGCGGCCCAGCGCCGCCGTCGACGCCGTTCCTTCGTCGGTGCCCTGCAGGCTGGACGCCTTGGTCCAGCGCAGCGTGTTGCTGCCACACACCGGGCCACGGGCCGGTTAGCCACTGGCAATAGTCAGCGCAGTCATGACGTTCACAGCGGCTCACTCGCATCAAACAGATCAGCGTCTTCCAGAACGGAGGCGCCGCGCGTAGTTTCATGAAATCGAAGCGATTCAGGAGGCGAGGCCTGTTCGCATGCGCATGGGACGAGAATGCTCCACCATCGATGCACACCGCGTCTCCCTCAGGACTATTGCCCGCGTGAAAGCACCGCCGATCAGGTGGGAGATGAAGGTCATGGCTCAGTGAGAGGGAGGGGCAATCGCGACACGATATCTTTTTATTGCACAACGTGCGAGCACTGCCCTTGGTTCGTCGCGTGTGCTAAAACGGCTCTTGCTTTTATCTATGCGGTATAAGTTTGTGTTCCTGCCGCAAAATGACCACAGTAGTCGGCACGCCCTAAAACTCCAATCAACAACACAAGTTTGTGTTTCACCCTGTACCACTCTCCCCCCCCCCCCAAAAAAAACTGGGTTTTTGGCGACTGTTTTCTCTAGGACCAAGTGGCGCTGTATCACATGGCGTCACAGCCAAGCAAGGATGACGATTCCTGCCAAGTGAAACCTTTCAAATATCCTTTGCGGTATGGGAACAAAAATCTATCTGAATTAACTAGCTCCTAAAAACTTCAGTTCCCCACGGAAAATCGTTATTGGCAACTTCTTACTACTCAGGACATTGCTTAAACCACTTTATCTATGCTTGACTTCCGGGGCGCGTGGCCGTACTCACATTTCGCGCTCCAGCTGTGTGCGGATCAGACCGGCGCCCTTGGCCATGGCCTGGTCCTGCTTGTTGCAGAGCACCAGCAGTGGCGGCTGCAGGGCGGCAATCACCGGGTCCGTCAGCACCGTGTACAGGTACTCGGCAACGTCCTTCAGCTGCTTCTGCACGGTGGTGCTGTCGACGACGAACAGGAGGCCGCGCGCCGCGCCCTTATACCGGTCGAGCGCGGTCTGCCGCAGCCGATCGTGGCCCGGCACGTCCACGAGCTCCAGTCGGCGCTGCCGGCATCAGAGACGGGCTGCACCAGCGCGGCGAACGGCCAGAGAATGGGCGACGGACATCGGCTGGTCCGCCCGGCCAGTGGAGGACTCGCCGGACGCGGACAGGCCTGGCCGCCGACTGCCGTGTCGGCGACACGCTGGTAACCGCGATCAGTGATGAACCAATATCTTTCTGAACAGCGCGACTCTAAACGTACGAAACAAAAGCGTCGCTCAACAATATCATTTCCCAGCAAGTTCTTTGCCTTTCCATTGTGAAACTTAGCAGAGGAAGGGCTGCTCCCTTTCATGAAATGGCAGGTGCTGGAAAACTGCCAGCTATGACCACACTAACAGAAATATTGATGCCAAAGATCTTTTGGCAAGAAAGATCAAAGCTCAATCAAAGTTTGAACAACATATTTGCATACCTTGCCATCAGGAGAATATGATGCTTCATTGGGCTCGATGGATGTATGTGTGCCTTTGTACATGTTCTGCCCAATATGTGAGAGAAGCAGAGTCTTGCCACTGTCACAGAGACCAATGAACAAGATGGCTGTCTGCCGAACTCGACGTTTGAGCAGCAGGAACAGAAGAACTGAAAGTGCAGATAAGTGAGTTACTATCACATGCCTGTAAAGCATGTTACCAGGTTCATTCAACACAAAACCAATTATTTCTAAAATCACCAAAAGATATGACTACACAGAGATGTGAAAGATATCACAATCAGCATACTGATTGGTTAACCTCTGTAACTAGCCTTGTCAGTTTGCTCATGTCATAAAAAATTGGCCTTTAGTTAGGGTAGAACATATGAAAGATGATTGCTGCATGGTGTCTCAACTTCAAGTGATATAGTTCATTTAGAAAACATGAAGGCAGCAATATATGGTTATGTCATTTAGTGTCATATAGTAATATGACATATTTTTTGCAGTGTCAGACACAATACTGGAAAGCTTGTACTGCATACATTGTTCTGCTTGTTCAGATAGGCTTTTGCTGCAATATTGTATCATTATCTTAATTCTCACACCATTTGATGACCTTAAGGAGGTAGGATAAATTAACAGCAAAGATTAAAGATTGCTGCTATGCATCAGCATTAAAAGAAGATGAAGATGCTACGGCAACAGCACAGGGAAGGCAAAAAATGCACTGACCAAACTCACCAATGGAAACCAATCAAACCCATCAATCACTTACCACCCAAAAGGATGGATCAATAAGTGTGTGATCATGCTTTTCAGAGTGGAACTCAAACACAGATTATTTAAACCAAAACCATTTGACCATGAAAATTATCAGGCCTATAGCTCTGCATTTTATGATAGCATCCACCAGCAATATGTGATAATTAAAAATATTGTTACCTCAATTTGGAATCCTGCACATCATTGCAGCTTCATCAAGGCACAACTCTGTTAACTCATAGCTGGCTATTTATGCAATGTTCTATGTGAATTAGCATGCTTCATGGATGGTAGCTTGAAAACATAATAAATAGTCACTTGCAGAAGACCACTTAACATCAGGTGGGTAGCACAATGCCAGGTACCCCTGGTGGTGTTCCTGCTAGAAAAGATAATGACTATTTTACAAAAGCTTCATTCTGAGTATTTAGAATGAATGAATTTCTGGGATCAACATTCATTCCAAGCAGTGCTCATTGTGTGCACCCTGACTGCTACTATCAGATTGTGCACCTCTATAATGCCCGTCCCATCATCATCCCATCATCCATCATATGCCCATCATCAAACTTGAAGGCAAAAGTCGAATGGCACAATGTTTAACACAGTCCATCCTACCTGCTCATGTCACCAATCTACTACTACTGGCCCTATCATACCTGTCAGGGGAAAATCAAAGCAACTTAAACTGCTCAAACCCATCTCACCACAGGTGGATTGGAAGGCACACACTCTTAACAACCGAGTAATGGGGGATGGACAGCTGAATACTTGCCAAACATGAAACATATTTAGCATGCATATAATAAATGTGACACATTTGCGAACACATGCCATGACCACAGGAACATTATGTTGCTGCCTATATGACAAGATGAGGATTCAACATCTTACTTGTGCTGAGAATCACGGCAACAATGGCAACAATCACTCCCAGTCTGGGAGCAGACTGCGACGGCGCTGTCACTGGCTTGTCCATTCCAGGCGACGCAGGATTTTCCATTTTAAATTAAAGTGATTTTAACAAGACTGTACAGCAACCAAATGATCTTCAAATGTGTCCCGACTCGCAGATAAAAAATCAACAGCAATCTTCCCTGATACCACTTATTACGACACGTCGCCCCACGACACAACCACCGATCCAGGAAAAGGCATTGACAACACAGCGCTCAACACGCGCAGCCTCCAGATGTGCGGGTGTGAAGCATTCGCGCTGTATTTGGCACGATAATTTGGTCACAATTAATCAACGCTCTTGTTTGATGATCATAAAACGAACAAAACAAAACACCTGAAAAATTAAAAAAATGTTATACTGGCTCGTGTTTACTTAGTTTCCACCTTCAAAAATGGTTCATTTGGTTTGTCTATCTTTTTAATTAAATATAGTTTTTGGGTAAATGCAGGCTGTCTTCGAACATGATGACTCCAGTCATTTCTGAAGTATATGGGTTTTTCAAATTTATTGAAAGGGAGAAAACTATACTGTGCTAAAAAAATGCAACATTGATGGAGCTTTTATAGTTTATAAATCATAAAATGCATGGTTTAAATCTTTTTCCACGTACACGCGATCATTTCAACGAACAGGCTTATAATCAGCTGTTGGTCATTCGCCGACGTCCTCAGTCATGGCGCTAGTAATACATACTATAGTAGTCACAACACAGCGTTGGGGCGACGAGTAACAAGGCGATGGTATTTTGGTTGTTCTCTTTGGGGCGTTCTCTGTGAGCCACTTCATTTCTTACATCAATATAAGAATCTTTGCCAAGGCCTGTTGAAAGTAAAAACTTTCCTAGGTGTAAACTGCTCAATTTTTGAGTAAACATGCCATTCCCCTCCCTCATATCATCACTGTCCGACAACCCATACTTCGGGGCGGGATTCGGCCTATTTGGTGTGGGCGCAGGAGCAGCACTTTTGAGAAAGGGCTCCCAAGTCGGTATGATCTTGTTTAGAAGACACTACATGATGACTCTGGAGGTTCCATGCAGGGATAAAAGCTATCAGTGGCTCCTTCAGTGGATGACAAATAAAGCAGCCAAGCAAACACAGCATCTAAGTGTTGAAACAACCTACAAGCAACATGATAGTGGTAAAGTTACTACTAACTATGATTTTATTCCAAGTGTTGGTGTTCACTTCCTTTGGTGAGTGGCTTTGTTTCATGACCTTCAAATTTGTCGGGTTATGCTGTAACTAGATTGCAAAGAGCACATATTATCCTATTCTGCTCAGCAGCCCTATTGCAGCAAAAAATTGAGCACATGTGTACTGTAAATTTGAGTCAGACTTCAGTGCATGTTTAGCACCAATTTCACCATGTAGAGAGCCCATGTTTCAGCAGCTTATTTTATTTTGTTTTTTTAAATATTTGATCCGAACCTTTTGTTATTAAGACATGAAGGTAGTTTTAGGCAAATGTATCAAATGCTCGCTAGACATCTACTGCGTGGAGCTAGTTAAAATTTTTAACTCAATTTCACCTGCCCTGAGTTCTGTGCATAAGACAGCAACCTAAGCACACTGCACTAATGTTGCATTGGTTTCCTATATAGTGAGTGGACCTCCTGCTGACCAGTGTTGGAGCAAGCTGTGCATAAGGCCTGCATAAGCTGCCATTTAATACTAGCTTAGTAGAGACAACTGATATTATTGATCAAATATTTGTATAAAAGCATTTCCAATGGATGTATATGATGTTCTAACAGTTGCATTTGAAACTCACCTCAGGTACAACAGCACATGGATTCGTGTTGAGCGGAACAGGGAGCAGCACACCTTAGATCTGCACATGGGTGTTCCATGGGAAACAGTCACATTAACTGCACTGGGACGAAACAAGCAGATCTACTTTGATATGCTTGAAGAAGGTAATCCCTGTTCACCAACTAAGGTGTTAACAGCATTTAACAAATAGATTAGTGTGATGCATTGCAGCCAAGATATTGGTTATTTCTACATAACCTCAAGATCTCAGTTATATAAGTGCATTGATAAATGTGCCATTTCCTTTAGGTATCCACTGTTGTGTAACCTGTTAACTTGCATTAATCATTTCTTGGCCCAAGTATTGCCTTCAACAAAGCTCACATTATGTTGAAAACCATCATTCGAATTGGCCAAGGCTTCCTTAGCTAGGGTCTGGAGACCCTCTGCAGACCATGAAAGCAGCAAGCTCCCTGAAATGAATGATACCTCACCTGTCACCTGCAGCACGTCAGATGGCTCTGCGTGAGAACCAGGGCAAGACACTGATGTACACAGCAGCAGGCTCCGAGTGGCGCCAGTTCGGGCACCCGCGGCGACGGCGGCCTATCGACTCGGTCGTGCTCGATGAAAACGTCGCGGAGCGAATCTTGGCCGACGTGAACGAGTTTCGACATAATCCGGCTTGGTACCAGGACAGAGGTGCGTATTGTGTAGAACACAAGTGCAGTTTGGTGCAAAAGCAAAAGTGGGTATTACTGCCACCCCAGCCTAGTACCAGGAAAGAGGTGAGTGTAAAAGTCAGCCTGTCTTGGTACCAGTACTGAGGTGGGCACGCTAGTCGGCCTGGCCTGCTACCAGAAAATAGGTGGGTTCAGAATCCACTCTGGCTCCGTCTGTTGCGGCGTTAAAGACGCGTCGATGCTCAGGATGTCTAGGTGATCGTTTTGCATTTACCCAATGCTTTCCTCGATCAGTCACAAGAAATGTAGCCATCATATGTATGCTAGATCTTCCTTGCGTCTTTGTGCTCAGCTGTATCCAACACCAGCCATTGTGCTGGGCTGACCCCATGTTCCCTGTAACGTCGGCCAGGCGGCCAGGCACTCGCATCCCTTCATCGGACACCCGTGACCCGAGGCTGACTTCCCCTATTAGGCATCCCGTACCGGCGCGGCTACCTGTTGCACGGCCCGCCCGGCTGCGGCAAGTCGTCCTTCATCACGGCGCTGGCCGGCGAGCTCGGCTTCAGCATCTGCGTCCTGAACCTGTCGGAGCGCGGCCTCAGCGACGACCGGCTGCACCACCTGCTGGCCGTGGCACCGACCGAGAGCATCGTGCTGCTGGAGGACGTAGACGCGGCGTTCGTCAGCCGCGAGGACACGGCGCAGGTGAGACGCCGGCGCACGGCGTGCTGGCGCGGGACGGTAGAGCCGGCCGTTTGAGCGGCTCCGGCGGGTGGCGAGGGACGGCCCCGACGCGGGCAATCAGAGAGGGCGAAGGAACAACGGTTTAATGACAGGACACCGCACGCGTGGCTGTTAAGATGGGCTGCTGGTTAAGGGCGGGCAGAGCAAAGAGTGTCGGACACGGACCCACCTGGCGGCATGGACAGCAAACCGGATCTGATCGTCAACCGCACCAAGTTGTCCTGGAGATAGGCTTGCATTTAGCGTTAATGCCCCGAGGCTTGGAACGGGGTCTTTGTCTGCAGTATTCGCCCACAACTGAGCAGGATATAGGCAATGGCAAATGTTAGCACTAACATGGCTCAGTGAGCTGCATGCCTTTGACGGGAAATATGCTGTGTGAACTGTGACCTTCGCCAGCTAACTCAGTGGGGTGTTCGCTTCAGACCCGCGCGGCTTACGAGGGTCTGTCGCGGGTGACGTTCAGCGGCCTGCTGAACTGCCTGGATGGCGTGGCTTCTACAGAGGCCAGGATCGTGTTCATGACCACCAATTACCTGGACAGGTGAGCTGGTGATGAACCTTTGTTCTCGATAGTGTGCGTGCGTGCGTGCGTGCGTGCGTGCGTGCGTGCGTGCGTGCGTGCGTGCGTGCGTGCGTGCGTGCGTGCGTGCGTGCGTGCGTGCGTGCGTGCGTGCGTGTGTGTGTGTGTGTGTGTGTGTGTGTGTGTGTGTGTGTGTGTGTGTGTGTGTGTGTGTGTGCGTGTGTGTGTGTGTGTGTGTGTGTGTGTGTGCGCGTGTGCATCTGCGTGTGCGTGTGCGTCTGCGTCTGCGTGTGCGTGTATGTGTGCGTCTGTGTGTGTTTGTGAGTGTGTGCGTGCGTGCGTGCGTATGTATATTTAGATTATTGTGTGCTGTGCGTTTAGGCTTTAAGAAATTGTCCGTGGGCTTCAAATGCCTTTTCAAAACATCATCTTTCGTTTCTCTTGGGGAGATAAGCATTTGTCTCACACAGGAAATGATCCATTCCGCGCTGCTTACTCCGTGACCGCGCCGAGATAGCTTTTCTGCCCCTGCTCGCCGACCTCGTGCTCGACCCTCCCTTCTCCCATCTCCCCTTCCCGTCCGCAGACTGGACCCGGCCCTGATCCGGCCCGGCCGCGTCGACGTCAAGGAGCACGTGGGTCACGTGACGCCCCACCAGCTGCGCCGGCTCTTCCTGCGCTTCTACCCGGGCGAGACGGCGTCCGCGGAGCGATTCGTGGCAGCCGCCGGCCAGCTGGGCCGGCCGCTCAGCGCCGCCGCCGTCCAGGGGCACTTCATGCTGCACAAAATGGACCCCGAGCGGGCGGCGCTCTCCGCCGACCGGCTGGGCGCCTCCTGACCCTGCGGCCGACCGGCGGGGTGAGCCGCCAGCGCCGACCGCGCGGCGAGACAGCGTGTAGCGAGAGGACGTCGCGTGGACGACGGCCTCGCCTTGGCTGATGTGCAGTGACAGTGCCTGCCGTGTGGTATGCCAGTTCACTGGCTGTTACGCGCTGCGGGATGTATGAGTGTGCAAACGAGGTGTACGCGATATTATTTATTGTGGGCTTATGCAACTGTCACGCAAAAAGGAGTGCATGAACATCTCATGTCCTCGAGAATATACTACAAGCAGACCATGACCGATTACTTTTTCTTCTTGTTTTTGTTCTTGGGTTTTGGGCTCGCTGCCGCACCTTTCCCAGCCTTTTTGGCCTTCTTTGCTGCCCGTCTCAACTTCCTGAGCTTCTTTTTTAGCTTTTTTCGCTCCTTATAACCCTTCCAGTAGGATTGGATGACGATGGCTGCGGCCTCCCTACGCTCCTCTTCCTTGATCCGCTCCTCCTCCAGCCGCAGCTCCTCGTCGTCCTCGGCGATAACTCGCGTGTAGTTTGCGTATTTATCCTTCACGTCACACAGCGCCTGGAAGTTTTGCTGGCCGCACCACCGCAGGAAACGTGACAGTCAGGTTGCGGCATTTGCAGCACACCATTACAGGATGAGCATTTTAAGGTCACCTGTGCATTCATGGCTGCATTCAAATCCTGCCATTTCATAAGCCGTACGGCCATCAAGGCCAAGCAAAACGTGATGGCCGAGAAGCTCATATCTAGCGTTCGTGAACAAGATTTCCAGACATCGGCCGTCATCTGGCTCTCAATCAATGTTGTGAAAAGTACGCTAACGTAATGCAACAATGCCGCATCGATGAGCTTATTTAGTGAACAAAGAAATTGTGTTCTCTATAGAAGTCTTTCAATATCTTCAAATGTCAAGCATTTCCTTTGGTTGCAAGCAGCTCACCTGTTTTTGATATTTGAGGCTGCTAAGCTCACGTTCCTTGGTGTCGGTGTCGACGTCAAACTTGGTCAGCCTCTTGTCAAGCATATCGTCCAGCTCCTGGGTAGCAATTTACCATACGTTATTCACACGACGCCCCATCACAATACTATTATCTTACTGACTGTTAGCAATCTGACGCCTCCCGTATCCTCTCGTACTTCCAGAAGCACATGCTGTGCGTCCAACTGCACGCTTTTGCCTCGTCCATTTCGATTGTCCATGATGCCCCGGCTGTGATGCCCGCCCGTTTCCCTTGTCGTTATGCGATGGTTTACCTCCTGGTAGCTTTACATCCTTTCAGCCGCCAATCCTGCAACCCCCAAACGACAGTCACCCACCACCTGACTGGTCTCACTCCCAGCAAATACCTGGCAAGTCCGTGCTACGGTCACCACGTGGTGGCTTCTACCCTCACCCACCACCATCCGTGCCACAGCCACCACCTGGTGTCTCCCACCCTCACCCACTACCTGACTGCTCCCACGCCCAGTAACTACCTGGCAAATCTTGCAACAGTCACCACCTGGTGTGCCCCACCCCCACCCACCATCTGGCGGTTGCCCGGCCCCTCCTCACATCCAGGGCGTCCCGCAGGTGGCTCTCAATTTCGGTGTTGACCCTCGTCTCGTAGTCGCACTCCACGCGCGCGCCTTCAGCCTGGTTGCGTTTCAGCAAGCGCTTCTGCTCTGTCTGACCCTCGTTCGAGGCGAGCCGCGCCCGCGACGATGCCGCCGTGTAGCGCACCTCCATGCCGGTGCGGGCGAGCACCTCCTGCAGCTCGTCCTGGGAGGCGATATCGGTCCCGCGAGGGGTCACTGGGGTGACACAGGGGCTGATATCCTGCGGGCTGCCCTCTGGCATCCTAGGGGCGCGAATCGGTCCCGCGAGGGGTCACTGGAGTGACAGGGACTGACATTCTGCGGGCTGCGCTGTGGCGCGGGCTGCCAAGAAACACGCCACATTAGAAATTTTTGACAATCGTAAACAACACGGCTGGATCATGGAGTAAGACATAATTGCGTTTAGAGCGGGATGATGGTGTTAGAAATGTCCCCATTGCTTGTTCCCCAGCATGTGACCGTTTTGAACATCGAGCTCATCCTTTACTGTTGGCCGACAGCGTTTTCCGCGAGCACTGCCCTACGCTCACCCGCAGCTCATATATTCGGTTGTCGCGATCCGTTATCTCCTTTGTCATGGATACTTTCAACTCTCTTATCTCTTCCTGCAGCGCGGTAATGCTCTTGGAGTTCGCGATGGCATCTTCCTGAGGGTGACCAACGCCCACGTGAGCATGCTGTTCTGCACGACGGAATCTAGGTTATGCGTATTGCCGCATTAATTTGGGGAAGATTTGACAGGATGTTATGCTAGCTAGATTTCTATGTTGATATTCATCACACGAGGAATAAATTTAAGAAGGAGTGTAACCTCAACGCCTCCGTGCCTCAACAGAAAATGACCTTAAAATTTCGGAAACCTTAGTCTCTTTACCCAAGTCAGTGCCGAAATTACATTTCGGTTTAACGACCCTAATAATCTACCCAATCTTTGCATTCCATACCAGCACCTTGCCCTTTCGCGGGCACGTACTTAAATCTGGTAAACTTTCGCGCATCACTACCGTCAATAATGCATCATCTCCCTTGCAGCCCTCCCCCTGACCTCGATGACCACGAACTCCTGTCTGCGGGCGCCCTCGGCTTCCACCGTCTCCAGGAGGGGCAGGTGCGAGCTCTCTCGGCGCAACGCCTTCATCACGCGCTCGATCGCCTGCGGGCATGACACGGGGGGCTCGGCGGTCACGTGACACTAGGTGTGCTGCGTGCGCTACTGCACTGTGGCTGTTGGCGTCAGGCGTGCGGCGGTGGTGTGACGTCATTGGCGCACCAAAGTACGTGACATTACCCAAATGCCCGTGAAATCTTCGGAAACATGACGCGTTAAGAGGTACAATGCTATCAACGTTTTAAATGCACTTTGATATCGTCCCATACGGTTTAAGACATTTATGACATCGTTATTTACAGTAGTTAGTTGCCTGCGCTCTGGTCGTGTTTCAGTGTCCCGTTGCGTTCGGAGAGATGGACATCGCCATTTCATCGGCCGTCTGCTCGATCAATGAACAGCTTATGACAGACATAATTGTTCACCAGTGCTGGCTTCAGCTGACCTTGCTGAGGTAGGCCCTATCGGCCTGTATTTTCATCAGATGAGGGCTGGCTGGCACCATGTTCTCGCCATGTGTGCCGCGTATTTTGAGGGGCTCGTCCTCCTGCCTCCGAAATCTGGCCGGATGCAGGGTGATCGGTTACGAGCAGCGCCATGCAGCGGTCCCGATGTGCGAGCCCTGCTGGCCGCACGTCCAGCTGACCAGTTGGAGCGGCACTGTTCTCAGATATTCGGCAACGTGCTCCGGTGTCCAATGAGCTCAGATATCCCACCAGGTTCAATGGGACCATGCGGCTGAACGCGCCGTTCATCCGCATCAGGTATACACACTCAGTTCGACAATGTCTTCCTCTACGACTGGAATGATGCAGAAAGCAATGCCTTGGTCCCCATGGGTGGAGTCCGTCCCGATGGCTCGGTTCATTAGAGCGCCTACATTCCGATTCACCCACCCGTGGCGGGGTGGGTTCGAGTCGCTGCAGACGCTCGCTATTCGCCCTTGACAGGCATGGCCTGCGGCGGGTGCAGCGACCACGATAATACTCAGATGACGTCAGAGGGCAGGACGGACCGTGCCGACCGTTGCGGTTTGTTAAGCCTTCGCCACCAAATTCTGCCGTTGACATGGAATTGCGCGATCGGGTGGTGGGGGGTAGGGGTAGCTCACACAAAAAGCACTGTTAAGCGCGGGCTCTGATCCCAGAAATCCATCCATTCAAAAGGTTCGGATCAAATCTTTAATAAAAAAGGATGAGTCCTGCAGGTGGCTTTGGTAAATATGTGGTGCTGTGATGTCGAAAGTTCAATGATTTAAGATCCCGTTTGACGTATGCTATGAGCAAGCCATGCCGCATTTAGGCACAGCTCAACTTAGATCGGTGAACTCCGTCTATGCCAGCGGCTTCGCATTACCTTTGACGCAGCGTCTCCGTCTCATCGACATGGTCCTTGATGTATGGCGCGGCGATTACCTTCCCCAGCACCTCGAGCTGCCCACTGTACTCATCGAACAGTGCGTATATCACCTGAAATGAGGGGGCGCATCTCAGATGAGCAGCTGCACGATGAGGTGCGCGGTGTTCGCTGCGTTGTGTCCGCTTGGACTTTTTTGGCCTCTTTAGTCTCCACTTGGTCTCTTTCACTCATTTTACGGTCCGATTCATGGATTTGTGTCCATGTTTGTCGTCATTGTCCCGCAAACATGAGCCTGTGTTGTAGTTTGAACGGTTGGGAGCAAAGGTGTAAGATGTGAATTTATACCGTCTTACAGCATTTCCGTCAGCCGTAGGTCTCGCTCACCTGTGCATCAACTTCCGATACCATATTGTTCTCTACCAGCTGCGGATCATCCTTTTCATCGTACTCATCTCCGGAAGGGGCGATCGACAGGTTCCTCGACCAAGACGCCTGGCCACCCTGGGTACTGGGAACCTGTTGGCAGAAAGGTTAGCTCGATGGGGGCCCAATGCGTGTCAACATTCTCGCACTGTTTGATACTCATACGCACACGCACACACGCACACACGCACACACACACACACACACACACACACACACACACGCACACACACACGCACCCAAACACACACACACACACACACACACACACACACACACACACACACACACACACACACACACACACACACACACACACACATGCTTGTAAGACCTAGCTTAGTGACTCCGGCCGGCGTGTGACCAGACACCATCCTGGCGGGCCCGAGAAAAATGTCAAGGTACGTTTACGAGGACGATGAAAATATACTATAGGGGGTTTCTGAGGGTGGCCAGTGCAATGACGTCATCTATGTTTGCCTCCAACGATGTTTACATTCTGCGTGTAAGCACCAGCTTGCCATGTCCGGCGCCCCGCTGGGTGGGTAACGAAGTGGCAGACAGGTGGGCGGAACCCGAACAGGGGACGAATTGAATGGGTACCACTTCAGAACAGGAGCGGCTCCACGTGCCGCTGGAGGCTAAAAACACCCGCATGGAGGGAAGCGATAATTGAGTAACACGCCACGCCGGCGGTGGTCAGGAGGGTGGGTGTCATCAAGGGTAGGGGACGGAGGCAAGCGATCGGCAGACAATTGTGGCATTCCGAGGCGGTTTGCCAGTGGAGGGGGAATGGTGAACAAGGTGCAGCGGATCGTTCGGGCTTCCAGCCGTTGTCACTCAAATAGCGCAGGGTTATCTTCAATCATAAATTTGTTACATGAGCTTAGCGTTGCATTAGCTCTCAATGTTACCAAGCCGTCATATAAACTGCAAATGCATTGTCATCGTTTAAATGTACATCGGCTGGACTGTAACAAGTTAAAAAAATGTTGGCGCACAACGCTGATGCCATGCGAGTTTACATGCAGTTTTAATTTAAGCATGTTTGAATGCAATATCCTCGTTTTCGATGAGCAAGTGAACGGTGCGTTTGTTACATATGCACATGTGACGCAAGCGCAGAACCGGAGCCAGCATATCTCCCAAAGGAGGAATCTCCTACAAGATACTAGGGAAGGATAAAGGAAGTGAATATTGACTGAGGATTTTGGCAATAAGGACAGATAAATATTTGACACGAACTGTACGTTGTAGGCCATGCGTTCCGAATTGGGGAGGGAGTTTTCTCCAGAGAGGAGTATACTAGAGTCTCTGGAGGCATTTGGATGTATCCAATGGTCTCTGAGTCAAGAAAGACGGCCGTCCAGGTAACACCAACAGGTCGGCACTGACTGAAAAGTGATGTTGCCTTATGCATAGCCATGCACCACATGCAGTAAAACGCAATGATATGACGTAATAGCTTAACCCAGGGACACTTTACCGCTCACATTAAGTTTTCACGCACAAGCGATGCATCTGGAGTGATTCACTTCGTGACCTTATTTGTGCCACCCGAATGCAATCGATGTGGAACACTCCTTTTGATCTATCAGCCCTTGATATGATTCGTTTCACCATGTCCCTTTTTTACATAGATATCGTCAGAGACCTAATTTCGTATGAAATTTGTATCTGCTCCAAAACTAGGATAACCAGTAACAAACCCATCATCTCTCACCAGGCCTATGGAAACAGCCGATGAAATTGCTGTTTCAGTAGTTTGGTTTTGTTACGTACGATTTCCCCATTTCACGGCTTCTAATGTAGTCTCTAATGCGGAGTTTGGTTTACGTTTAACGCGACCAATATCTAAGCTTTGTGCTAAGCCCGCTGACACTGCTCGGAGAGTTGTAACCGGTCTCGCTTGTTTTCTTGGGCATTGCAATACCTGAACACGGAGCTGTGACAAAATGGGGTGTTTTGTTATGGACAACCATGGTTTTAAGCCGCGTATGGAACAGATCATAAGAACGTACACGGACATCGTAATTGGTCTGACACACTTGAAACACACCAAAGCGAAAGTTTTTCTTGTAAATATTGCTTGGGTGTTCCTGTCGTCGCGTCTATCGTCGATGCCGGATATCGCTGTTAACGGCCGTAACGTCACGCAACTTTACAAAGACAAAACTGCCAACATTTAGGCGTACGAGCAATCGGTGACAGGCGAAAACACGACGGCATCAGTAACGTCTTGAAACACCTTGTTTGGCTTGACACGCACAGCCTTATCAAGTATTGTAGAATATATGTCATTCACGCAACTGTGACCGCAGGTAGAGGTATCAGGTGACCGCAGATCGCCGACAATGTCGGCAACGCAACACAACGCCAGTGCAAGACCCGAGATGCCATCTGACACGTTTTACCGAGAGTGTGTACGGATAAGGACCGTTACCACCTTTGCTAGCGTGGTATGCAGGAGCACGATCGGCTTGCATTTATTGTAATCCTGCGTAACTTCACATACCGGTGAAAGAGAGACCTAGTGCGTGTGAAATTTGCAGCCGGTGATTCGTGTTGTGTGTGAGCATATTGCTGAGCTTTATGACGTACGCAACGGCTGCAATCTTTTATCTTGCCGATATCTTTTAATATCACGACTTACGGCACTGCAAAACCACGCAAGTTTAGATTTGTCTTGAAGTGAAAACTGAATCGGAATCGAAATCTTTCTTGGGCTGGGTGAGGGAGATCATGCCACGTCCATCCCGTACGAAAAAGGACATAAAAAGGAGATGCAGGTGGCAGACTTGTCTTCGATTCCAATTATTTGAATTGGCTCAGGACCGGCTCACTGAAACCACATTCAGCTCAAGACTCAATGCCGTTCAAAATGTCTTGATTCAACTCGGATGGAAGTTTAAGTTATAATGTACAAGGCCTGGTGAATAATAAGAAAATGGTTGCAGTTATATTTAGCTATCAAATATATATTGTGCGGCTTTTCTCATGTGAAAGCTAACTTTCGGGCTTTAGTTATTCAGTGTAGTCCATTATAAAGTATTTGTAGTATCTGTATGTCAAAGACCTACCTGACAAGATTTTTCGGGAGCATGGTCACATAGGCCATAAGTCTGTCAGGTGTTTTAGGTCTTAAAGATCATTTAGAGAGTAGTCTTTCAATTGTTTACATTGCAGGGCAACTGTGCAGTTTCAGCTCGTCGCTATGGCACTTATCGTTATAATGCCAACCATTCTCTTTTCAAGCACAACTGCTGTCCAAGCAGGGTTGTAATTTTCTATTCACCGAAAGTGGTGCAAACCCAAGCTTTGAGCAAAGTCCCTCGAATTTATTCATTTATCTAATTATTTTCCGAATTTATCTCGCGGAACTACGCCTCTATTACCAAGACCTGAGAACCAGGCTTCCATGATGGTAGACTATCCACAGGGGGCAGAGGGCGAAAAAGAGAGACTCTTCAGAGCTCAATATCTTCGGCTGTGGTTGCGACACGTAATCTGCCCCTGGACCAATGGGAAATAGCCGCCGCATTGGCCGTTTGGACACCTTGGCGGCCACAGCGCCTTGCGTTCGTACCACAGTGACAGCTTTCTGTAGCCTTGTGCGACGCACGGGTGGAGTCGGTGCATAACACAGTTCGGCAGCGCCATGACAGCGCCATTCGCGCCGGTCCAACTCCGTTGAAATACCGTGCGGACGCCTCTCCTGGAGAAACCGTCGGTTCCTTAATGGTTACTGTCCCATGGTGTCAGCCGGAAGAGCAAGGGACGACAGGCAGTAGCAATGCCACCGTGCCATCGCTGCTGTGCTGTCTCTGAGGCAGCACTGCCAGCCGTGTGCAGCAATGGCCGCCAGCATCACAACTACAGCACCTAGCACCGCGCCTGGTCCTACCATTGGCCGCGCTGGTGACAGCCAGCTTTAGACGAATAACGACGCGACAGGCTCCATATGTCAAATATAGTAAAGATATACACCTTCTGACACAGGCTGCGGCAGAAGCACTTTTTTGTAATAACTCGCGACACGTTCCATGGCACATCGGCCGCATCTTTAGGCTATACATGTTTAATATATACATACATACGTATATATATATATATATATACATATATATATAGTGGCATATATATACATATATATATATATATATATATATATATATATATATATATATATATGTAAGTCCAAAGATCGTTCGTGCTCAATATTTTAATTGGTGGTCAGTGACCGTATTCAGTCTATTTTCTATTTCAACTCTGCTGAAGAGTTGGCGGCAAAAGGATTCGATCCTACACCGATATCACAGCGCTTGCATAGGCCTATGTTTTGCCTCATAGCTCGGAGGTGCCGCGGCGCACACTTTTGATCTCAGAAATAGAAAGAGAATTGTTCAAGCTTCATTTATATGCACTTTTTATGCACATATACGTTAAAAATTTAGAAAGCCGTGGGCCTGAAAAAGAACATTTAGCATGGGACTGTGAGGGACATTCATTAAATGTGTGCCGTTACGGCCATATTTTTTATTATACTTTGGGCCCTCTCCCTCCCCTTCCCTCCGGCTCTGTATCAGTACAGTTTACCTGCGTCTGCAAGCGGTGCATTACTGTCACTCCCCTTCCCATCCGGCTGAACTGTCGTCACCACCAAGCCTGCTGCTGGCTACCTTGCTGCCACTGTGTGTTAGCTTATAACTGTCATGGGATGTAATCAAGGCGGTAGGCAGAAGGCACTAAACACCTGGCGGCCAGCTTTGCAGGCATTTAAAGGCATGATTTTTACGCTTTCCACATTTCGCATCTACCTGCAGAGAGGGTCAGTCACGGCCTTCCGCACTGAACTCCTACCAGGCCGTGGAGATAGCTCTGCTGGGTCTGACATTTGTTCTGCAGACATCTGTGTGCGCATCGAAGTATTAATGATACCCGATGGTAAATGACCAATTTTTTTGTGCGACGGTCGCAAAGTTGATGATGGAAAGAAATTCCTCTAATGTCAACATATGCGGTTAACAAGATGCTATAACATATTGTCTTTGCGCTACTGGTGCTTTACGACGCATTCAGCGACTAAGGCTGTA